TGTGTTGAGTTGATGAAAAGAGTTGATGTTCAAAGGCATAGTCTATTTGAATCTGTTTAGATGGTAGTGTAACAATCCACACTTCATTTCACTAACCTACTGTATAGACACCCTGTGGACATTAACTAGCCCACCCTTCCAGTCGAGCTCTTTTCAGGTCAAACATTAGCTCATTCTCCCCCTGCCGAGTTAAACACAGACAATTAAACTATTAGTCTGCCATAAAAAACACTAGAGCGACTTTAGAAACAGCAGGACTGTGCAAGCCTGTACTTCCATTAATGAGTAAACATGGGAAATGCTCTAAAAGGTGTTGACAGGAATATGGAAAGCTAGTGTTTGCGACGTCCAAACAAGTACTAAAACAGAGTGTGTATCACTCACTAGATCACTTCTGGAACTCAGAGAGGGAATTACTGATTAAATTAGCAGTTCTTGGGATTTGATGATTTTTCCAGTCATAACTATGGCACTCTCTCTTCAGCTGCCAGAATTCCTGTACGAAAACAGCCCTTTTCATTTTATTACAACTTTGCAAGTCGCTGGCTTCAGAGGAACTATAGACACATTAGGGCTTGCATAGACTAGTCGGGTAGTCGACTACTTTAACTACTAATAGTGCTGTCGGAGGCCATAAAGTACGAGTGAGAATAACCATACAACGCACTTGTTTTTCTTAACGCAAACCAACCAGCCATGACCCCGACCAAAGGGAATGAGGCAGAAGGATGATGACAGTGAACAGAAATTTGTCTTATTCTATTATAAAATACTATAAAGGGATACTCCACTTTTTTGGAAAGAGTTGAACAGTTGAGTTTTACCATTTTCAAATCCATTCAGCCGATTTTCTGATATTTAGAAGAATATCAGTAACCAGACAGTTTCTGGTCTCATTGACTTCCATAGTAGGAAAAAATATATCCACAAGTTTCCGAGGGGCGCTCCTGTAAAAAATAAAGTGGGTGAAACTTCCGGCGAGGCGGCGGAAGTAGCATTCCAATGGTATTTTGTGTGTTAGTTAGCGAAGAGGCTAGCTGTTTTTCGGAGAATTATTTTACTATTTAAAGACGCAAATCTTTATGAGAGATGTCGTTACGGAGCTCAGGGACATGTGCTGTTCGCGGTTGTATGTATAACCGGGCTAAACTAATTCAGTGGCTTAAACATGATTGTTTTGAACATAAGCTGAAAACTAAATCAGACTGTAACGTTAGTTTCCATCACCTCCCAAAAGACGACGAATCTTCCTGTGTACATTTGTTTAAATTCTTAATATTCTATAAACTCTCTCAGCATGTATTTGGCTGTTCGCTACTGATGTTACAGCTAAACTCAGGATCAAAGCCTGTGTTGACAGAATACCAAATGTGCCGTTAATGTATTCAAGTTGCACATTCATTTATAATTTTGAATAAACTCCAAAGCACATCAATGACTAAGTGTGTATTTTTTATTTTAATTGTTTGTCAGCTCTGTCACCATGCCCTGATGAATATTGATTATTAATAATGTTATAATACTCCCAACCAACTACTGCGGAGGGTAAAGGTACTGTTATTTCACCCTTTTTAATTTCGTTGAGGTTGTGTTCCCACATCGTTAGCTAGTTTGGATCGCTATAACTTGAATGACAATAGTACAATAGTAAATGTCCTTTAGGCTAACTAAAGTGAATTGTATTAAAGGGTTAGTTTACCCAACAATGAAAATTAATTTAATTAATTACTCGCCCCCATGCTGAACCAACCCCGTAAGACCTTTGTTCGTCTTGTGTGAAAAAACAAACAAAAATAACAACTTTATTCAACTATTTATTCCTTGTTGGCCTGAGATGAGAGTTCAAGAGATTTCCATGAAGCATGCATGAGAACTGAACTGAAGTTGAGTTGAAGAAGATCGCAATTCTCGCGCATGCGTAGTGGAAATCTCTTGAACTCTCATCTCAGGCCTACGAGGAAGAAATGGAGTAGTCGAAAAAAGTCATTATTTTTGTTTGTTTTTTCGCACAAAAAGTATTCTCGTCGCTTGATAAACTTATAGTTGAGCCACGGTAGTCACATGGAATATTTAAACATTTTCTTCAATGACTTTCTATGCCGTCAAGTTTCAATCCCTTAGGAGCCGTAGCAGTGATCCACCTCTCGAATTTAATCAAAAATATCTTCATTTTTGTTCCGAAGACGAACGAAGGTCTTACAGGGTTGGTACAGCATGGGGTAATGACTTAATTTTAATTTTGGGTGAACAAACCCTTTAATATATTTATGCGCATATTGTTCGACGACGTCAAAAACGGAGATGTTAAAGTTAGGTAATGTAGCTTGTCAAATTACATTGTTTTATATACAAAATTTTGTTAATTTAATTAATTTTACAATAGGCCTTCAGGAGATGTAATTGTTGCAACTATTGGGCTGACAATTAATAAACACTTGGCGACACAAACCATGACTTTTTTTGTCTTTTTTGTAAAATAGTGACATACTCAATTAACTCAGGCATTGCTTTGACGCGTAATCGACTAGGAGAAATGAGTAGTCAGGCAACCCTTGAAGACATCCAGTTATGAATGTCCAACGCAGCAAAGTGATTCTTATTCAAAATATCACAACCATATCACCACCATAACAAGAATTATAAAGTTCATACAAAATACATAGAGCATATCAAGTTATTTTTGATTGAACAATAATTTTTTAGTATATTTCAGCATTAAAGAGTTGAAAAAAATGAAAATTCTGTCATTATTACTCACCCTCATTTCATGCCAAACCCATAAAACTTCCATTCATCTTCGGAACACAAATCAAGATCTTTTTGACAAAATCCGAGAGCTTTCTGACCCCTGATAGACTACAACGCTATTACCACTTTCAAGGCCCATAAAGGTAGTAAAGACATCATTAAAATAGTCCATGTGACTACAGTGGTTCAACATTAAGCGATGAGAATACTTTTTGTGCGCAAAAAACAAAAGAAAATAACGACCTTATTCAACAATTTCTTCTCATCTATGCCAGTCTCTGACGTTCATGTGAGCACCACGATGCATGCGTGTAATGCTGACGCAGGAGCCGGCCAAAACCGAGCCAGCTTTCTGACGTAGAACCCAGAAATGCTGCAAGGTTTACAATGTGAACAGTGTCAGATACTGACATGCAAAGAAGAAATTGTTGAATAAAGTTTTTTTTTTTCTCACACAAAGACTAGTCGCTTCATAAAATTAAAGTTGAACCCCTGCAGTCACAAGGACTAATTTTAAAATTACCTACCTTTTTGGACCTTGAAAGTAGCAATTACGTTTTTGTGTGAACTATCCCTTTATAGAGTGCATTACTATCCGCCCACTTTTTCAGTGTATTCTTTCCCATAGAGATTTTTTTTAGCTTTGTTAAAGTTGTAAGCAATGAATGTACAAAGCCAACCAGCAGAGGTGAATCACAACTTTACAAAAAAAAGACAAACACAAAGGTAAAAGACTTGCTAGGTACAGGCTACAAAACTTGTAAAGAACTACAGTCCCATGAAGCACTGCAAATGCCAAACGAATTAAACCAATCTAAAATCTTTATAAAGTAGCTGATTCTGTAGAAACAGCTACTTTAATTCATTCCCTGCAAGCTCTTTGGCACAGTTTGCTTGCCAACATATGATTTAGGAATTTTCTGTACAGAATAATGTGTAATTTAGTTCCACTGATAAATATTTGTAGTTGAAATAACGCTAACAGATGCTGCAATTATCAGCCTTGCTCACAAGAGGTTTAAATGTTATTGTTAAGAATCAATCTCCCAAAGGAGAATTCTTTTATTGTACTGGACTGTTGCACATAGCCAACAACTATCCTAAATAAAGATGGCACACATTATTGCAAATATCATTACCTTTTTCATAAAGCTGTTATGGAAACAACAGTGCTATGCTCACAGTGAAAGTAAAAGACACTGAAGGAACAGAAGTATTAAGACAATATCTTCTTTCACGAAAACCCACAAGGCATGAGGTCCATGCTCTTGATTTAGCAAAATTCAATATAATTTGATACGGTTCAATAGAGCGTGCAACAACAGATTCAGTGATCAGAACAATGGCAGCAAGCTTCAAAAATGAAATCCTACTCTGCTTACCACAAGTGATCTGATTACTTCTCAGGGCGAGGGCAGCAATAACAGAAGTCTACTGAACTGAAAACATTAACTAACTGAATCAAGAGGGCTTTAGGGTACAGTGTGGAAGAGAGACAAGAAATGCATAGACAAACATGGAGGAAAGGTTCAGCTGACCTTTACAAATGCAAGAACCAACACATTCCATTACTTTGTCAAAACTAGTATAACATGTGTGTGTGTACACCTGTTCAGTGTCAGTTGGCTCATGACCCTGGCTGGAAAGTCTCAGGTACATCACATTTTTTCTCAAAAGAGCATGTGCGTGTAAAGAGAAAAAATAAACTTTCAAGTGGCTTTTCAGGTGTTGATTTAAAGGTCCAAATATCCTGACCGTAAGTATTTGCCACTCAAAATATCCACATGTGATGCCTATCTCTTTTCCATTCAGTGTAAAGCTGTATTGTGTGGCTCAAAAATTTGCTTAAAAAAAGTTTCAAAGGAAGAGTTTCAGCTGTCACATACTTAGTGTGCAAAATAGGAGGAATAAATTCCTTGTATGGTTGAGCAAAATAAAGATCAACTGAATAAATTACTGAACAATTTTGTGTAGAAATTATGATTAGTGAAAACAGAAACATCACAGCATGACCACTCAATCACTGGTAAACTTAATGTATTCAACAAAAGAGGCTTATAAAACAACTTTGAAGTAAATAAAACAACTGGTGAACAACATGCTCTGAAACGCGAACGTTTGACATCAACACGAATGCTGCAGAGTCTCTGTAAGTTAGCGACTTCACGAGACCAAAACTTGCAACGGTTGTCAGATTTAACATTGTTTCGTGTACACAGATGTTGCAGAATTAAAGCTAGTAGGAAACTTACCTGTTTTAAGAGAGATACCACGCAGACTCTGCCTCACACACGCGTTTCTCGCTCAGAATCAGTTCATGACTGATAGAGAGAGTGAGTGAAGGAGCGCGTTCCACCAACTCCTCCCTCACGCGATTCCCAGTCAGTCAAAGAAACTGACGCACCTCCCGCCTTTCTGAGTGGGGAACGTGACAAAACTCAACAATTATTATTATTTTTTTTTTTTTTTTGAATGATAATGAAACACTTGACTTGGCAGTAAACACATTTATTATTCGTGGGAATTTTTTTTACACAAAAATAGATGCCTAACTACCAAACTTTTACTTTTTTTTCCATAAAGAACTGTGTTATCATTACTTCTTATCGCTGACACTGATAAAGAAAAAGAATGCCTTAATAGCCTATTTTATACTTTGATAGAGGATGTGAAACTTTCTGAAAACCCATAGTCTTTTATTTTATTTCCTTTATTTGTTTTATTGTTCACCTTATTTGTATTTGTATTTTTTATATTCTATGGTATGGTGCTTATCTGTTGTCTGAAAAGACATTTCATATGTTGTACCAGTCCAATTATGGTTGTTAATATTGTTCAATAAAAAAACAACATTTCCTTTGAACGAATTTCAGTATTTGAATAAATATAAAATCCTATTTAGATGTGAAGTCATGCCCCCATGAAATATCTCAAACTCACGTTCACAAGATGACAATAACCATTATCATCAGGCAGAATTAATTGAACTAACTGAATATTAATTTCCTAAAATAATTGTCTATTTTTTAAATAAATAATTATAATACTTTAGTTTGTAACATTTTTAAATATTTAATCATTACATACGATTTTTTTCTATAAGTCCTCTTTATTAATAATAAACAAATAAATAAAAAACAAAAACAAAAAAAACTTATAGCTACTATACATACATATATGTATATATAGCTAGTATACATAATTGTACATAAATGTAATTATAATTTTTAGGACAAAAGAAAAACAATATTAAGTTTGAAAACTACGAACGCTGTAAAAACATTTTAATGTTTCTATTTAGCCTAACTTATATTATTTATTATTATTAATTTCGACCTTTTAATTTAATTATGTATTTATTTTTTCCCTAATATCCCCTGACTGTAAAGTAGTTTGTTTGTCTCACTTAAAAAAAGAAAAGTTGGCCTGTTAGATAAAAAAAAGAAAAAAAATATTAACCTTTATTCTAGTTAAAGATTCTCACTGATGGCCAACTTTAGCTTTTTATCAGTCATGTTAGTTTCCATTATTAATTCTCTTACTTATATTGTCTAAATATCAAATCAAGTTATTAATAAAAAAAGTTAATGAGCATGACCAAGCATATTTTTGAAAGTCCGGATTACGCTTTTTTAGTTCCCTACATTACACCAAAATTGTAATACTTTTTTAATTAATCATGATTTTGTTTTCGTGATACAGTGAAGGTAAATTCAATAAATATACTACTAATAAAGTTAATACTATTTAATAAATGTGTGCCGACAGTAAAAGCTAAACCGGGAAATAAATATAGCAACTGATAAGGATGAGGGCAGGGGTTTCATTCCGTCAAACCACTTAGTTCTGCGTTCCTGTGCAGTATTCTCGACTCTTTGGCGTCCCCGTGTGGCTATCAATGGAACAACTGTCCAATTAAAGGGATAGATTACCCAAAAATGAAGATTCTGTCATTATTTACTCACCTTCATGTTGTTCTAAACCTGTATGGATTTATTTCTTCTGCTGAACACAGAACAAGACATTTTGAATAATGTTGGTAACGAGACGGTTGACGGAAGAGGTTTAGAACAACATGAGGGTGAGTAAATGATGACAGAATCTTCATTTTTGGGTGAACTATCCCTTTAATACATATATATTGGTATATTGGTGCTGCTGTTAGGATGCATTGACACAATTTGTAGTGTGAAAAACACCTGAGAAATAAACAACATAATCCAACAACATCAAATATAAAAAAAACAAATGTCATCTTTATTACATCTAAATATTCTGATAGTAATAACTTTTGCCTCCATAAGGTCTCTTACATATACACACAGTTCTACATAGCGATTTATCATGGCACAGTTTTTTGTGCTTATTAGCACAGATCACGGTAGTACAATAAACTGACGTAGTTGTGCAAGACTCCATGGAACATACATTAATCTTTACATTAAGTAGGCTACAGCAATGAGATCAGACAAAATGACGTTTTTGTTTCAATTGCACAGAACATTATTAGTGTTAATCTTTTTTTTACACGGCTATTATTTCTTTAGACTTAGACTTTAGAATTAGACTTTTCAGCCAATATGTAATTTAGTTACACCATTTCATTTTGCTCAAAAACTGGGGTGACTATAATACATGCCATTAAAAAAAAAACAACATGAAAAATTAAATCATAAAAAAGATGGTTCAAGTTCTTAGTAAATCAGACCTTAAACACGTTGTTGCTGTTTTAAAAAACAGCAGATACTGAAAAGTAAATCTTTGGCTCACACTCATCCCGGGTCAAATTCAAGTTAATTTAATGGAGCATTTAATGTCATCTATTCTCCCACACACTTTCCCACTCACGCCTGCAGACACACCCACACAAATGAAAATGAATGTCGCTGCACCGGACACATAAAACAAATTAAATTTGTTGAATGAAAATGAACCAGTCACTTCAAATGCAACAGCTTGTCCATACAACAGTCTTGGAATCCACCGATCCAGATATGTCTTAAGGAGTGACACGTCCTTGTTATATTCTATCTATGGCTACACGTTACATGAACAATTACGCACAAACGTAGATGCCTACACCCATGAGTCAGGTGAGGCCGGGTAGGGCTGAGTTCTGTATGAAGGCCTGCGTGTGGTGGAGTAGAAGTCCACGTAGTTGGTATTGGGTTTGAGCACCTGCCTCTCGCTCACCACGGGATAACGGACCGGCTCGTCCAGGTAGGCATCCTCGTAGCCCATCGGAGACGACAGGTACATTCCAAAAGTGTCATAGGTGCTTTGATTTGAGTCATCTGGGTAGTAGAGCCGGCCATGCTGAAAGAAGAGGTGAAATGAGCGCCTTTTGTGTTCATCATTTATAAATAAATATGAATAAACCGTGACAAGAAATAACTTTTTTCTAAACATAATCTAGTGACTCTGTCAAACGATTGATCGCGATTAATCGCATCCAAAATAAAAGTTTGTGTTTACATAATATACGTGGGTGCACTGTGTATAATTATTTTGTATATATATATATATATATATATATATATATAAATACACACACATGGATGTATATTTAAGAAAAAATATTATTTATATATAAAATATGTATATATAATATAAATTATATATAAATCTATATACAGTATAAACATGACAATATTTCTTGAATATATACAAGCATGTGTGTGGATTTATATATATATAAAATAATTATACACAGTGCATCCACATATATTATGTAAACACAAACTTTTATTTTGGATGCGATTAATTATGATTAATCGTTTGACAGCCCTATATATATATATATATATATATATATATATATAAAAATACACACATACATGGATGTATATTTAAGAAAAAATATTATTTATATACAAAATATTTATATATTAAATAAATTATATATAAATCTAGATACAGTATAAACATGACAATATTTCTTGAATATAAACAAGAATGTGTGTGTATTTATATATATAAAATAATTACACACAGTGCATCCACATATATTATGTAAACACAAACTTTTATTTTGGATGCGATTAATTGCGATTAATCATTTGACAGCCCTATATACACTCACCGGCCACTTTATTAGGTACACCTGTCCAACTGCTCGTTAACACTTAATTTCTAAGCAGCCAATCACATGGCGGCAACTCAGTGCATTTAGGCATGTAGACATGGTCAAGACAATCTCCTGCAGTTCAAACCGAGCATTAGTATGGGGAAGAAAGGTGATTTGAGTGACTTTGAATGTGGCATGATTGTTGGTGCCAGAAGGGCTGGTCTGAGTATTTCAGAAACTGCTAATCTACTGGGATTTTCATGCACAACCATCTCTAGGGTTTACAGAGAATGGTCCGAAAAAGAAAAAACATCCAGTGAGCGGCAGTTCTGTGGGCGGAAATGCCTTGTTGATGCCAGAGGTCAGAGGAGAATGGCCAGACTGGTTCGAGCTGATAGAAGGGCAACAGTGACTCAAATAACCACCCGTTACAACCAAGGTGGGCAGAAGAGCATCTCTGAACGCACAGTACGTCGAACTTTGAGGCAGATGGGCTACAGCAGCAGAAGACCCCACCGGGTGCCACTCCTTTCAGCTAAGAACAGGAAACTGAGGCTACAATTTGCACAAGCTCATCGAAATTGGACAATAAAAGATTGGAAAAACGTTGCCTGGTCTGATGAGTCTCGATTTCTGCTGCGACATTTGGATGGAAGGGTCAGAATTTGGCGTCTACAACATGAGAGCATGGATCCATCCTGCCTTGTATCAATGGTTCAGGCTGGTGGTGGTGGTGTCATGGTGCGGGGAATATTTTCTTGGCACTCTTTGGGCCCCTTGGTACCAATTGAGCATCGTTGCAATGCCACAGCCTACCTGAGTATTGTTGCTGACCTTTATGACCACAATGTACCCAACTTCTGATGGCTACTTTCAGCAGGATAATGCGCCATGTCATAAAGCTGGAATCATCTCAGACTGGTTTCTTGAACATGACAATGAGTTCGCTGTACTCAAATGGCCTCCACAGTCACCAGATCTCAATCCAATAGAGCATCTTTGGGATGTGGTGGAACGGGAGATTCGCATCATGGATGTGCAGCCGACAAATCTGCGGCAACTGTGTGATGCCATCATGTCAATATGGACCAAACTCCCTGAGGAATGCTTCCAGCACCTTGTTGAATCTATGCCACGAAGAATTGAGGCAGTTCTGAAGGCAAAAGGGGGTCCAACCCGTTACTAGCATGGGGTACCTAATAAAGTGGCCGGTGAGTGTATATATATATATACATACTAATAAAAAAAAAATATATATATATATATATATATATATATATAATACAAGGAAATAAT